AAATATACCCAGCAACCTGTAGAAAATTATGTCACTGGCTATGTTACAATATCACTTACTGTGAAAATTCGATTTTTATCAATAGCGATGTTCAATCTTGTAAATACTTTTCGTTCAGTAGTCCTGCCATCTTGTTCGTGCTCGTGTTTTCTGCAACGTTTTTTGTTTCTCGAGCCTTGGTAGCGTTTCTATGACAACATTGTCGACATTCACACATGAATATTGACACCGTCTATTTTGACATTAGATAGACACTATTTTCTTCAGTTCGAATTCTGCAGACGTTAGCCTGCGGTATACACAAAGCATTTGCTTTGTGTAGTGGCTTAGAGTGCAAAAGTTTGGAAATTGCAAGCTTCTACACGACTATCACTGCCAACCACACTACATTGTTATAAACCTTTCTATTTGAATCCATATTTTCATGTTTTGCACACTGCACTTATCACCGCACCACATCACACTAAGCCAATTGTAAACTTAAATATTCGCTTTTATATTAATGCAAAAGTTCCAAAGCAAAGACTTTTGTATTTTCTTTATTTGGTTTTAAAATCATTAATTTTGTTGAAATTGTATTAATTAAAATTGATTTGTCTGTTGATGCTGGTTTAGGATTTAATTCATAAATATCTACATTTGCAGAATTACACGGATATGTGTACACGAAATCCTTTACTTTCATAATGTCGACGTTTGCTTTAAAAATACCATCTGTGACATATATTTTTTTATACGACAAATATTTTTATTGTTTAAAATAACAGTATTGTCGGGTGATTTTGTTGTAATGGTTATTTGTTTATATTTTAATTTTTTTATTTCTCCATTAGTCTGTTGTAGAATTTCTATTGAAGGGAGAGACGGTTTTTCATTAAGACATAATTTTTTTCGTGCATTCTTCGAGCTAATTGAGGAGCAACATTGTGTGGTGAACGTAATGTGTTTTTTATTTTTCCTAAAAAAATTTCAAACGGAAACGCAGTTATGTAATTTAAGTTACATTGCATATTCTGTACGTCGTCTGGTATATGTTGAAGGCTGTGTACGTTCATTACCACAAATTCTGGACCATACAGTTCTTTTGATATTAAAATGAACTTTTGCAACAGATCTCTGGCGTAATCGACATAGTTTAAAGCATTTTTTGAACATAACATTCGACATGCTACATGTAAAAGAAGAAAATGCTTGTACATATTTTTATCAAGAATATCTTTAAATAGAATTGGCCCGCCGAATAATAAAATAAATCTATAATCAGTTACTTTATAATTTAAATGGCACGATACAGGTCTAATTTTTCGGTCAAACTCGATTGGCTGCTGGTGTTTTATAATTTCCATTTTCTTGCATAATTCGCTTCTCTGCTCTTGACTTAATTTAACATTTAAATCATTAGACATCGAACGCATCCAATATTTTTTTCATGACTCCTAAAAAACAAAGATGCATTGAGTCGAGAATAAATTGATCTATCATATTCAATGATGGCTGTATTAATACAAGCGGAGAAACAATTGTGTGATGTTCGATATCGTTGAAATTTCTGAAAGTTTCGTCAGTTCGTTTTTCACAATTATCTTTGGTTATGTATATGTCATTGTATTATTAATTTTTATTCCTTCAATTGTACACCGTTCACAGCCATATTTAGCATTGTGTCCTTTTATACCTTTCAAGAATGATCGAGCCGGTGTATCACATACAAAACATTTGATTTTTACTTCATATTGTTTACCGTTAATATCTATGCCACTATGCTTAAGATCGTTAATTTCTAAAATAAATTGACATAAAAATTCTTCTACATCCTTCGGTTTATGATTTCCTGAGTATAATGCTGTGACAAATGGAGAATAAACGTCAGGTTCAAAGTAAACTTTTACGAGTATAGGTCATACAACTTTTGCACTAGATTTAAATAGTTTTATGCCATCGATATTAATAATTAAATTTAAAGTATTGCTGTTATGTATATCGTTATTTACACAAGACTGTAGGCCTTGTTTAATACCAAAGTAAGTAAATTGTCCCTCAGTGCCGTCAGAATCTGTCATTGTAATTATTTTGTATGTTGCAGTATTTGTCTGCAAAAAGGTTTTTGCGGATTTTGGCAATGAAGGCATTAACCTAGTCCGAAAAATATTTAACAACTTATCTAAAGTTGATTGCGGAACTTGACATTCTAAAGCCCATGCTCTTAATTTTTTTTCTTTGTCTGCATCAGTGGGTTCAGTTTCTACGTGAGTCTCAGGATCATTAACATCATTATCTTCGTTTTCTTCATATATCTCATCGTTGTTACACTCACTAGAATCATCACTATTAGTGTCTTGATTATTAATTTTATTTTCAGAAACTGAAATAGATTCTTGGGTGTCAAATACAGGTTCTTTTCTTAAATCATTGGAATTGCCACAATGCTCTTTTATTTTTGATTCCACGCCGCTCCTCAATTTTTTGTTTTGCCTATTAATACTAATTTGTTTAATGTGTCTTTTCAATTTTAAAGTATTTCTATATTTGGAAGCTCTGTATCTCGCAGAGAATAATTTCAAATTTTTATCCATTTTAAAACGTCTAGATTATTTAGATATATTTGCAGACTGCAGTACATAAATCTCTCGATTCCTAGCCTAACTAATTCCGAATGTCATATTTTATGCCAGAAATGTCATATTTCATGTCAGAAATGATCTTTTCCCAGCCTTGAATAGCCCTGACTAGAAGTAGTCTGGAAAAAACTAGCGCCAGACTACTTCTAATTAGACATTATTAACATAGTATATTTCTAGCACCTCGTTAGAAATAGCTTGACGCTGATTCGCGCCACTTCAAAACTAAATTTATTATATTAAATAGGGATACAACATGACAGTCAAGATAGGAGCTAGCTAGACATCAGGATCTAGCGTGGCACTTTCTACCAGGGTATATTTCTTATGAAACCGAATATGTAAAAATTAATTTAATATTTTAACTAAATATTGAATAAAATTTTTAAAAAGTTTAAGTTTAATTCAAAAACTGGATAATTGGCAACTCTCTATGTAAATACAGTTTATGTACTCAGATATTATAATAAATGTTAATCTATTTTTTTTATGCAACACTATAGTAATTATGTTGGGCGTCAAAATGGAATCGCAACTAATAAACCGAATCTATAAATGTACGACAAGGTATAAATGTATTTAATTTAAATTCTTATAATTAATATCAAATTTATATCGTAGAAATAAATCTTTTTAAAACAGATATATATATTTTTAAAGAATTTTAAATATTTTAATTATAGTAATAAAAAAGAACTAAATTCCTGACATAATTTATAAAATTTTATAATTACGTTTAAATAAATCTTTCGCAATGATTTACGGAAGAAACATGTTTCAGCATAAGGGAAATTTGGAAATGTAGAATAAGTAACCTACTTTTTCATTCAAATGTTCTATTTAATCTCAGTACTATAAAATGGAGACAACAAAAACAATTAAATTGTCTTAATTTGCTTGTAAATGAGGTATATTGAAATGTTATTTATTACCATTCTGCCTAAATTTCTTTGTTTGTAAATTCCTTTGTTTATGTTATATATAATTTCTAATTACTCAGATGGAGCAAATGAGACATGCATTCGATAAACGTGTGGCAACCAAGACCAACAGTGAGACAGTTCGTAAGTTTGTTAATGTTCTACTTAAGTATTTATATTTGTTCAATGTTATAATATTTAAAAATTTTTTAAATAACGGCGAAAAAAGTTTTTTCGGCAATTGTTGTTGATAGATTGATGAAACGCTATTTTTAATGATTTTTTTCTTTTCTTTTATTACTCTTACAAAAATTTCAAAATTATATGTGTAGGAAACTTACTTTTATAAGAAAGTAATCAATTATTTTATATATATTTGTTCAAATAACACAGTTTTCGACATTCTATTGGAAGCATGTCATAACGGAAGATTAACTCAACAAGAATTTTGGGATCATATGATTACAATGTCACTCGCAGTACGTATTTATATTTTGACATTTAAACTATATGTAGACGTATAATAAAACAGGTTTTTATTTACATAGGCCACTGACACAACTGCCATTACAATAAATTTTGTGATTTTTATGCTCGCAAATTTCCCAGAAGTACAAGTACGTAGACATTAAATTTATTGAAATACAATACAACTTATTAACTTGCTTAATACATATATAAAACTTATAAATAATGTTATTTCAAGTTAATAGCTATATATAATATATTATTTATGTTAAAAATTTAAATAGAATTATGCAAACATTTTTATTTATTATTACTTACGTTTTAGTCATTGCTACCAATATTAATTCCATAAGCAATGCACAAAATTTTAATCACAAGTATAGAGTAATATAAAAATTAAAAAATACACATAATTGCTTCGATTTATTTTATACTAGGAAAAAGCGTATAAAGAATTATCAGAAATTTACGGCATTGAATCTCCAAAATCTGTACCAATTAAATATAATGATTTGCAACATATGAATTATTTGAACCGAGTTATTAAGGAAACAATGAGACTTTTCCCTGCTATTCCTTTTATTGGACGAATTCTAACAGAAGACGTAAAGATAGGTATGATTAACTATAATTGTGCAATATAATAATTTATTTGAAAATTGTGTTTTTTTGTGCTACAATTAAAAGACAAAGATACATACAAAAGTAATTTTTTAATAATAAGACGTATGTTTACTCAGACTATTTTTTACTATTGCATTTTTATTATAATATTTTAATATAAACATATGTATATTTTAGGAGAAACTATTTTACCTAAAGGAGCTGATACAATTATGTCTATATTTCATATGCACCGAAATAAGAAACATTGGTCGAATCCCTTGATGTTCGATCCAGATAGATTTCTTCCGGAAAAAGAAGGGCATTGTTCGAAATATTTTATGCCGTTTAGTAACGGACGGAGAAATTGTATTGGTAAGCACGAACAAATAACAAAATATGATAAAATTGCCTTGTATATAATTAACAAAATTGCAGGTCAGAAGTATGCGATGATTTCTATGAAAGTCATTCTAATAACATTGATACGCACGTTTGAATTTAAAGTAGATAAAAATATCAAAATAGAAGACATAGAACTTAATACAGACATAGCATTGTGTACTGTGGATCCTCTGAAAGTTAAAATACAAAAAAGAGATTATTAATTTATTATATTAATTTATTTATTAATAAGAGCCCTGGTAGAAAGTGCCACGCTAGATCCTGATGTCTAGCTAGCTCCTATCTTGACTGTCATGTTGTATCCCTATTTAATATAATAAATTTAGTTTTGAAGTGGCGCGAATCAGCGTCAAGCTATTTCTAACGAGGTGCTAGAAATATACTATGTTAATAATGTCTAATTAGAAGTAGTCTGGCGCTAGTTTTTTCCAGACTACTTCTAGTCAGGGCTATTCAAGGCTGGGAAAAGATCATTTCTGACATGAAATATGACATTTCTGGCATAAAATATGACATTCGGAATTAGTTAGGCTAGGAATCGAGAGATTTATGTACTGCAGTCTGCAAATATATCTAAATAATCTAGACGTTTTAAAATGGATAAAAATTTGAAATTATTCTCTGCGAGATACAGAGCTTCCAAATATAGAAATACTTTAAAATTGAAAAGACACATTAAACAAATTAGTATTAATAGGCAAAACAAAAAATTGAGGAGCGGCGTGGAATCAAAAATAAAAGAGCATTGTGGCAATTCCAATGATTTAAGAAAAGAACCTGTATTTGACACCCAAGAATCTATTTCAGTTTCTGAAAATAAAATTAATAATCAAGACACTAATAGTGATGATTCTAGTGAGTGTAACAACGATGAGATATATGAAGAAAACGAAGATAATGATGTTAATGATCCTGAGACTCACGTAGAAACTGAACCCACTGATGCAGACAAAGAAAAAAAATTAAGAGCATGGGCTTTAGAATGTCAAGTTCCGCAATCAACTTTAGATAAGTTGTTAAATATTTTTCGGACTAGGTTAATGCCTTCATTGCCAAAATCCGCAAAAACCTTTTTGCAGACAAATACTGCAACATACAAAATAATTACAATGACAGATTCTGACGGCACTGAGGGACAATTTACTTACTTTGGTATTAAACAAGGCCTACAGTCTTGTGTAAATAACGATATACATAACAGCAATACTTTAAATTTAATTATTAATATCGATGGCATAAAACTATTTAAATCTAGTGCAAAAGTTGTATGACCTATACTCGTAAAAGTTTACTTTGAACCTGACGTTTATTCTCCATTTGTCACAGCATTATACTCAGGAAATCATAAACCGAAGGATGTAGAAGAATTTTTATGTCAATTTATTTTAGAAATTAACGATCTTAAGCATAGTGGCATAGATATTAACGGTAAACAATATGAAGTAAAAATCAAATGTTTTGTATGTGATACACCGGCTCGATCATTCTTGAAAGGTATAAAAGGACACAATGCTAAATATGGCTGTGAACGGTGTACAATTGAAGGAATAAAAATTAATAATACAATGACATATACATAACCAAAGATAATTGTGAAAAACGAACTGACGAAACTTTCAGAAATTTCAACGATATCGAACATCACACAATTGTTTCTCCGCTTGTATTAATACAGCCATCATTGAATATGATAGATCAATTTATTCTCGACTCAATGCATCTTTGTTTTTAGGAGTCATGAAAAAATATTGGATGCGTTGATGTCTAATGATTTAAATGTTAAATTAAGTCAAGAGCAGAGAAGCGAATTATGCAAGAAAATGGAAATTATAAACACCAGCAGCCAATCGAAGTTTGAACCGAAAAATTAGACCTGTATCGTGCCATTTAAATTATAAAGTAAACTGATTATAGATTTGTTTTATTAATTCGGCGGGCCAATTCTATTTAAAGATATTCTTGATAAAAATATGTACAAGCATTTTCTTCTTTTACATGTAGCATGTCGAATGTTATGTTCAAAAAATGCTTTAAACTATGTCGATTACGCCAGAGATCTGTTGCAAAAGTTCATTTTAATATCAAAAGAACTGTATGGTCCAGAATTTGTGGTAATGAACGTACACAGCCTTCAACATATACCAGACGACGTACAGAATATGCAATGTAACTTAAATTACATAACTGCGTTTCCGTTTGAAATTTTTTTAGGAAAAATAAAAAACACATTACGTTCACCACACAATGTTGCTCCTCAATTAGCTCGAAGAATGCACGAAAAAAATTATGTCTTAATGAAAAACCGTCTCTCCCTTCAATAGAAATTCTACAACAGACTAATGGAGAAATAAAAAAATTAAAATATAAACAAATAACCATTACAACAAAATCACCCGACAATACTGTTATTTTAAACAATAAAAATATTTGTCGTATAAAAAAAATATATGTCACAGATGGTATTTTTAAAGCAAACGTCGACATTATGAAAGTAAAGGATTTCGTGTACACATATCCGTGTAATTCTGCAAATGTAGATATTTATGAATTAAATCCTAAACCAGCATCAACAGACAAATCAATTTTAATTAATACAATTTCAACAAAATTAATGATTTTAAAACCAAATAAAGAAAATACAAAAGTCTTTGCTTTGGAACTTTTGCATTAATATAAAAGCGAATATTTAAGTTTACAATTGGCTTAGTGTGATGTGGTGCGGTGATAAGTGCAGTGTGCAAAACATGAAAATATGGATTCAAATAGAAAGGTTTATAACAATGTAGTGTGGTTGGCAGTGATAGTCGTGTAGAAGCTTGCAATTTCCAAACTTTTGCACTCTAAGCCACTACACAAAGCAAATGCTTTGTGTATACCGCAGGCTAACGTCTGCAGAATTCGAACTGAAGAAAATAGTGTCTATCTAATGTCAAAATAGACGGTGTCAATATTCATGTGTGAATGTCGACAATGTTGTCATAGAAACGCTACCAAGGCTCGAGAAACAAAAAACGTTGCAGAAAACACGAGCACGAACAAGATGGCAGGACTACTGAACGAAAAGTATTTACAAGATTGAACATCGCTATTGATAAAAATCGAATTTTCACAGTAAGTGATATTGTAACATAGCCAGTGACATAATTTTCTACAGGTTGCTGGGTATATTT